GGTATTGTTGATATGGTAGTTTTGTTTATTTGTTAATATGGTGGTTTTGTTTTTTTTAAAAAATAGAATGTTGTACCCTTTTTTATAACAGGTGTTATCTACGATATAAAAAATTGTGCATTTTAATGTGGGTTCAAAATTATAACGGGTCATTATTTAACCGTTATCAAATTCTTGTTTTTATAACGGGTATTTAGTAAACCGGTTATAAATTATAGTGTAAACAAAAGAAGTTTATAACGGGTAAATGAAAGTACGTTATAAATATTGTATATTTTATAACGGGTGAATGAGGAACTGATATAAAATAGAGTAGTCTATAACAGGTAAACTAAATATTTATAACGGGTCTATGTTACCCGTTATAAATGACAGTCAATTTATAACGGTTCAACAACCGTCATAGAAAGTTCATACTTTCTATAACGCCTGAAACTATAACGAACTCAAAACCGTTATAAAAAGCCTTTTTTACCCGTTATAAAAACTGTTTTTTCTCACAAGTAGGGAAGAGGTCAGGGCGGCTATGTTTGGGATTGATCCCAATAGTGACTCTGGCCCGGATGGCTTGTCGTCTTTCTTCTTTCAGGCTTGTTGGGAGATTGTCGAGACAGAGGTCGAGGAAGCTGTGAGGGATTTCTTCTCTAGTCATTATATGCCATAGTCCTTCATGGCGACCTCTATTGTTTTGATCCCTAAGAGACCTAGACTGAGCTCTTGGTCCTATTATAGACCGATCAGCCTTTGCAATGTGACCAACAAGCTCATCTCCAAAATCCTTAACGGTCTCCTTGTCCCGCTCCTCCCTTCCCTCGTCTCTCCGAACCAAAGTGGTTTCATCAAGAATCGTGTCATCAGTGACAACATTCTCTTGGCCCAGGAGATGATCCACGACATCTCTCACGCGAACTGGTTACGAACCCTGAACCTCGTGCTGAAGCTAGATATGGCTAAGGCATATGATAGGGTCGAGTGTCCATCTCTCAGAGAGGTGCTATTTCGGATGGGCTTTCATGAGCATTGCATTAATTTTGTGGAGGCGTGTGTGGAGCACTACACGTTCTCAATTTTGATTAATAGTAGCCTCACTGACTTCTTCCCGACCACCCGTGGCCTTCGACAGGGGAATCCCTTATCCCCTTCCCTTTTTGTCCTGGTGGCTGACTACCTGTCTCGACGGATTCATTTGTGATTTCTCGAGGATGATCTATAGCACGCGCGTATATGGTCTCGCCATATCGCACCTCTTCTACGCGCATGACATTATCATCTTCACTCGTGCAGATGATAATGGGTTGTCCGACCTCATGCGTCTCCCGGGACATTATATCGAGACCTCTGGCCAGCTTGTCAGTGTGCCAAAGAGCACTTTCACCCTTGACCGTCACATTACAGACCAGTGGGCCCATCGGGTCCACGAACGCACTGGCTTCGCTCGTGGCGACTTACCCAACACCTACCTTGGTCCCCCTATACAACAGTCACCTTTCGCATGAGCTCTTCACTGATGTCAGATAGAAGTTGATTGACCGAATCTTTTGTTGGTCTCACATACACCTCTCTTTTGGGGGCTGGCTCACTCTGATCAAGAGCACCCTTAGCGCCCTTCCTCTCCACCTCCTTACGGTCCTCGACCCTCATTAGTCTACAATTCACGAGCTAGAACAAATCTTAGCTCGCTATTTTTGGGGTCATGGAGAGGGCTCCCAGGGACGAAAACAGACCCACTGGGTGAAGTGGGACTCTAGTTTCTGCCCTTTCTCTAAGGGAAGTCTCGGGATTCAGCATTTTCTAGATTTCGTCACTGCATTTTCTTATAAGATGTGGTGGTGCAATAGGGAGGGCCCCCTCGCAAGTACTAGACATGTCATCCATCTGCCTTTTTTGCAGGTGAAGGATCTGTGGACGGAGGGGCTTGGGATATGGATAGGATGAAGAGTATCCTAGGTTCGGGAGGGTGCTTTAGTATTCAGGAAGATTGATCAGATCCAGCAGATTCCTATCTCGAAGGGAGGCTTGGACGGTATTGTTAGAGTAGGATACCCGGCGTTCCAATCAGATTGGACGTATTCTACTTGTAAATACAATCTATTGAAATTATATTAAATAATAAGGCATTACTTTATTTTAAGAGTAAGCATTTATCATATATTTGTACTTAAGATAAAATCCCTAGATCACTTATAGCGATAGGATATGGTTGCGCATAGAGATGGTGATCATGGAACATATCTTGAAAGTTGTGATCT